GCGCTCGTCTGGAACACGGCAGATACTTTGATATGCTTGGAGAGAAGTTCTGGATAAGTTACGCAGAATTAATGCACAAGTTACTCAGAGGTTTAGGATCAGCTAGACGCCACGACTGATGAGGAACTGACACTGAACGGATGTCGACCATCAGATAACTGACCTGGAACTGATGGCCCATGGATGAATGTACGCCGCCATATCACCATTTGTCGACGTGTTTCAGCGTGTTCATAACTCATCCTACATATGCCAGCATTTTTGCCAGATTTCCCTGTAAGTCAGGCAGACGCTGCTCTAAATGGTCCAGGTGTGGCAGGAGCTTTATTCCCTGAAATCTAACGTCAGGTTCTGAAATCCTTTATCCTGATGGCGGCTCTGCTGCTCTCTCTGCACCTCTTTCCCTGCTCTCCCTCGTCTCCCTGTTCTCCTGCTGTAATATAATAAAGACGTCTTGTTCAGGCAGAAGTCCACTGCTGTGTTCAGTGTATGGCTGCTTCAGGAGAGCATTAATATTCAGCGATCTCATAACTTCATGATGGACTGAACGGACGGATCAGTTTAATAACAGCTGCTGCTTGGTCTATTCACTTTATTTTCTTACCCGCTTTCCTTCCTCCTCGCCTTTTAACACGTCTCCCTGTTTGGATCCGCAATCATAACATGGATGATAGATGGATTTATAGACAGACCCGTTAAAGAAAAGTCTAAATTCACAACAGTCCATCAAATAACCAGAAAGTAGAAAAAAAATGATGATTTAGTAGAATGAAATATTGATGTCAAGTTATGGTTTGAAACCTTAGAGAAAGGACAAGTCTGCTCTGATGCATTCTGGGTAAAGAGGGAGGGGCCAGAACAACATCCAGGGACTTTTTCCGTTCTCAGTCTGCTGCTGTTGTGAATAAGAAGAGCACCAGGGCTGACGAGGTTCCTGAGCACATGGGAACGTACAAGAACGCACGATGAGATAGAAGGAGGCGGCTCAGACATTACAGAACCTTTCACTGACTTACAAAACACTTTCAGGAAAGTTCTATTAGAATATTAGAAAATACAGATATTCGTTTATCTTGTTTTATTCTTTTCTGTATTGCCTGGTCAGCATCTGTATTCTGGAACTGTATTATGTACTATATTACACTCCCGCCAAAACTGTTGTACTTGATATGCAATATCAATATTCATATCTATATGAATTTAGTTCCCACTGAATGGGAAAATACGGGAAATTATATTTTTAGTTTATCAAGTTAGTTAAACATAAACCAAACTTTCCATGTTTAAAAAAACAAAGTGGAAAAGAAAGAATGAGCTTTACTGAAGCTTAGACACTCACACTGAGCAGGCCTCCGCTGCTCCTGGTGTGGCCAAACACCTTTTCAATGGCGGCGTCTCTCAGTGGATAGGCATGCTGGCCCACGTACTTTCTGCCGCTGGAGAAAGACAGCGGACTGCAGCACTTGGCCTCCAGCAGCAGGTCGGAAAACAGGAAGAACATCTTGGGCTTCGTCTCTGAACCCTTTGGAGGGACGATGTTCAGCCAGCCCTCCCGGATGAACCACCTCCCTGCGGACGGATAGTTTTAGAAGCAAATGTTTTCATTATAAAAAAAAACAAAAACATTTTTGGTTTAAATCCTATAGTTACAGGTAAGGTAGCAAAAATAGTAACAATGGAAAGTAACCACCTCCATTTTTAGAAAATAAAAAGAAGTTTCTAACCTGGTATAAATCTATAAATGAAGTCAAAAATTGACTAGTTTCTGAAGAGTAAATTTCAAATGAAACTCAGAGATCTTTGCAACACGACCAGCAGACGTGTGGAATGAAGGCTGCTGTTTGCATCAGCAGTAATAAAATGTTCTTCATTTAACGGTTTTTAGCAGTTTCTTTCTTATTTATGCGACGCCTGTTTCAGGGGGGCTCCGCCAGAGCTACTATCCTGCAGCTTTTTGATGCCCCCCCCTTTTTAACACCCCTGAATCAAATGAGTGGCTGGTTAGCATGCCTCTGCTGAGCTACATGAGGGGGTTGATTTACAGGATGGGAACTTTTAGATGGATGGGAGCAAATCTGAATTTACTGCTTCTATTACCATATTCAATGATGCTAATATAGAATACGGCATAGACCAGTATTTTATGCAACTGCTATGGTTGGCTGTAGTGGTTGTTTATATCTATGGCCCCGAGCACCTGATTAATCCATTGGTCATGGAAGGCGTGTCGGCTGGGTGGAGGACGTTCTCAAAGTGTTCTTCCAATGTCCTACAAAGGACAAGCTTGGGAATTTTTATTTTTCCATGGATTATTCCTTATCTGTCGTAAGTTGGAATAGAGATCTTCATTTCAAATATTACTTTTACAGTCTGAATCCATTCCTTATTACTCAACAGTTCAGACTGACATTTCCTGTACCTGCCAATGATGTTAAACTGATAGAAAATCATTTGAGGTGCCGTTTCCCCATACAGCAGCAGCCATTCAACATTTCCACAGTTTCTTTGGCTGGTCGTCTACAATTCCTGTTTAAACATCAATATTTGTACTAAAATATTCTTTCTGTCATGATTTGTGGACGTTAAGATCTAAAGAGAAGCGTCACCTCCTGGTCAGACCCTGTAATTCAGTGAAAGGGTGGAGTAAAATATGCAAGCCCAGGAGAAGGAGGAGCTGACTCCAGTGGCTGGAAGTTGGAGGGGATCTTGCTGGGAGTTGCAGGAAGGCGGCTGCCATTGGCTGGCGTTTGACTGGGAGCGGCCATTTTGAATGGCTGCTACTGTAAGTTCCAAATACAAAATAAACAGATTTGTACAATCCAATATTCTAATCATTTAGTTCAAATCTTACCTGGATTGCGTAATCTTAGGTCAGAGAAATTAAACATCGACTACTTCACGAAGCCTAAACTAATCTTTTTTTTTATTTCAAATAAAATTTTGAGTTCTAAAAACACTAAACCAATCATCATTGGTAGGGCTGGGTAATTTCGCCAAAGTCCTGAATCAATTTGATTTTGATTCATAGGGTTCTAAATCAATTAGTTTCAATTCGATCTGTTTTTACAATAATGAAAGTGGTTCAACTGGGTTTCAAAATACTCATATTTTATTTTTTCTTGTCATATTAAACACAAAGTGAAAACTTGTAATTCAGACAGTTTAAACTTGAGATGTGAACAAAACTGTCTAAAAAGTGCAAACTTGTTTGTGAAAAGTGAAAAAGTGAAGCGTCACTCGAGCGAGCAGAGGTGACACAGCAGACATGCATGAGCTGCATTATCTTCACTGAATCAAACCATATTAGCAGCGCTGTCTGTAACAACAGGATGTTTGCTGATCAGCCCCCATTTGTTAATGTCTGCAGTCAACCTATTGGCCATATTTGAGGCTGTCTGGCTTGAAGTCATCTTGAGTTCATCTTTCCCTCTCAGTTGAATGTGAACGTCACGAGCGTCACTATTAAACTAATCGATCTCATTACCTAGACATCCATTTTTTGACCCAGCCCTAATCATCACATGTCTAATTTCCAATTCCTCTTCAGATATTTTTCGGCAACTTTTTAAAAATTATTTTGTTCAAATTTTTACCTTTTTTCCCCTGCATTTGTTTTAAAACCATGATAACATTTAACCCTCAGGTTAAAATCAGATTAAACAAACAGCAGTTATTTAATATTTACTCGGTAGAAGCAGATTTAATTCTGACGTATTAAAGTTTGGAATATTCAAATTAACCTGTAATTTTTCCATTACTCTGGTTAAATTTTGCAATAAAAAAATGAAAGAAATGTGGACAGGTGCCTACAAACAAACAAAAAAACAAAACTTCAATAGAAAAATTTGTGCATTTTCTACCATGGAGTAATAATATTGGTCCCCACTGGCTGTGTGACGGAATGATCCAGGCTCTGAGTCTCTGCTGTCCTCCAGAGCTGCTTAATGTCTGAGGGGCGCCCTGATGCGTCTGATCTGTGAGAGGAGCTGCTTTTCTCCTGTACTAATAGTGAGGATGTAGGTGAATGGGTCAGCATGCAGGTGTTTGGGCAAATATTTCTTACATTGTGGGGACCATTTCCATTAATCTTAGCACATGATGGGGCTCTCATACTCTTGTGGGAACCAATGCCTGGTCCCCATGAGTACAGATGCTGTTTTAGGGTTTGGACTAAAGTGTGAACTAAGTTTAGATCGGGGTTAGGTATGAACCCATACCTTAGGCTGTAGAAACTGGTTAGAAATGAATCAAAGTCAATGGAAAGTCCCCACAAGGATGGAGAAATGTGTTCGTGTTTATTTTATGTGTATGGATGTCTTTGGTATATTTACCAACCTTCTGAGGACCGACAGGCCTTATGGGGACTAAAGGTTTTTCCTGTGCTTAGAGATACGGTGTGAATAATTACCTTTAGATTATTCTGGCTGAGATAAAGCAAGAAAACATACTAACTAGGGACACATATATTGTGGTGTTGTTTTTATCATCTGGTCAGGGACATGACCAGATGATAACGGTCCTTTAATTGGTCCTGGGGGAGATGGGCAGGGTGAGCAGCACTACAATGAGGCCAGTTTCTCTTCAGACAATCAAAAGGAGGAGGACTGGTGGGGAGAAAAGAGTCACCCTTCCACACAGCACTGGATGAACAACAACTTAAGAGAGGAAGTTAAACTAAACAGAAACCATTTTCCTGCTGAAAGTCATTTCAGTGATTAAAGCTTTACTGACAAGCCTTGTGGCAGAAGGCAGAGCGAGAAAAGCATCAGTTCATGGTTAGGCTGTGTTTCAAATAAACTGAACACATTGCAATCCTTTAATTATTACCATCTTCAGAGATGTAGCTGGAAATAGTGACTTATTATTTTCTATCCATAAAAAAGAAGAAAACTACTGGAGAAGAATAAAAAGGTAACTGAGAAATAGCAAACAAAGAACTGATGTTATTTCTAGAAGATGAAATATTTCCATTGATGCTCAGTCAGTTTAAAGTCTCTGCACGATCTTAAGAACATTACTGACTAATAAGAGGAACGAAAGCTTGGAGGCCTGGCAAAAAAATCTATGGAGGAATGTTCTGATCTTTATATTGGAGAAACCAAACAACCACAGACGCATGGCCCAACGCAGGAGAGCGCCCTCCACTGGACAAGACTCTGCTGTACATCTACACCTCATGGACAAAGGACATTCTTTGGAGGACCAGAATGTTCACATTTTGGACAAAAGCAATGCAGATAGAGTTGATTCCTTCCAGCCATCATCGCAGCCCCAACTCCTTTATAGGAGAACAGAAGACCTCACCTATTCAGCCAGGCCAACAATTCCCCCTAACGACCCCCCTTTCAGAGACATAGACAGGTATGGGGCATTGCAGGCTAACAAAGAAGCCAAACGACCCCCCTTTCAGAGGCATAGACAGGTATGGGGCATTGCAGGCTAACAAAGAAGCCAAACGACCCCCATTCCAAAGAGATGGAACTGTTCGTTTGTTTCAACTTGCATGATTTCTAAACCAAAACAAGGATTTTTTGTTGGTCCACTCTATAAAGTCATGAAATCAACACCATTTCTGACATTTTAAATTGAAAAATTCCTGGATGGGAAGCTAAAGGTCTTCAAACTTGGAAAACAAAGTCCAGTGGATTGATTTGTTTTTACTTTTTTGGAATCTATGTAGGGATTTATAAGTGCTCTGTTACGAACCCAGTCTGCTGAAACAGAATCCAGCTAAGGGAAACTCATGCAGAAAATAAAAAGGAATACGTAACAAAATGATCCAACCTGGAGCCAACACCTGTGCCTTCCGGCCTTTCAGCAGTTTCTGCACTCTGCAGAGCTGCAGGTGGTTGTCATGGCGCTGAGCGTTGTCCTTGATACGTTGGGATACTTCAGACAGAGCATCGACAGCCCCTACAGGAAACAAAGACACAACGGCATCTGTGGCAGGGCATCTTTAAATACTTCTTCCAATATTTTCTTTGTTTTAAAACTCAGAGACCAACTCATTGATTTCATTCTACTGTCAAAAACTATAATAGATGTTCAACTGTTGTCTGTCCATCATCTGTATAGAAAAACCAATAACTGAATGTTTTAACTGGGAGCAGTTTGTGTTGGTGGTCTCCTTTAAATTGTTTTGAACATCACACTGGAATGAGGACATTAGAGCCCCATTTACCCCTTTGAAACCATGCTGAGATCGGTCTGAGCACGGTAACCCAGATAACTGTTGAGTTTAAATAGACCGTATCTGAACCGGGCCAGAAACAACCGAACTACGCTAAATCTAGCGCTAGTTCATCAGTAGGACTCGGCGCAGATGAAATGCGGCTGGATTCTCTGATAAAGAGCTCATGAGCAGACTGCCTCATCTCCTA